TTAGAATTATTTCAAACTATTAAAATGTGAAATAAGCTTTGTTAAATTAAGAAAATATATGAAAGAATTTTGGAATGAAACACAAAAGGAATGCATTTTTATATATACCATGTTTAATTTTGCGAAAAATCCTGGATATCAATGGGTAATCATAAAAAATACCTATAATTCTGATTGTAAGAAATTTTAAAAAGATATATTTATAAAATGACGAATAAAATTTTTAAAATATACATAATATATCAAATTTACAAATGTTCAAGTTTGTTCAATATAAGTGGAACTGCTTTAGAAAGATTGGAGCCAAACTTCATTTAAAAATCTATATTTTATTGCGTGCTTGATATGTTCCGTCTTACGACTCTTTCTTTCTTTTCTTTATTTTCTATATATATATATATATATTGATGGTTAAATATAGTATATTAAGCTTAAATATTTATGACGATGTAATATTATCGAAATTGTTTTTCACATGCCTTAGACTATCATCCATTTTAGACTCATGAAAGTTTCGCAAAATATAGTTAAATATATTTATTTTTGCATATACAAGTATGAAAATTTAAACATTGCTATAGATTTATGAATTTTTCTCTCTAAATTTAAGATATTACTATTAACAATAATACATTAATACGTATTTAACATTTTTATCGCATAAAAAGTTAATTACTCATATATATATATATATACAATTTACTCATGATGATTCATTATTATATATATTATACTTTATATCAAATACTGTTTTACATTTTATATTATATACTATTTTTTATTATAATTTCAATTATAATTTATAAAACTTCTTAAAACTATAGTACAAATATTTTTAAAAAACATCCCAATAAATTGATATATATATATATATATATATATATATATATATAATTAATATACATTTTACTTGTCGAAATTAAGTAAATTACTACTTCATTTTTATAAGTAATTATAGTACTTTGTAGTGTGAAGTAGTAATGTTTAAATATTGTTTACGCCTTAATCTTTTTAGTAATTTATATTAATTTTTGAGTGTGGTAGATAACATTAATTAATATGTTAATATGTTAATAATATTAAAACATTGATAATAAAATAATAGATAACAAGAAAATAAGAAAATATTAACGTAATATTTGATTTTCAGAATATAAGTTTAAATTTGTTTTACAAAAAGTAATTTTGTATAAAATGTATATTTTATAAATTTTATATTATAATCTTATAATGTTAATTTAGTAAAAGAAATCTTTGTTGTAAATGAAATTATAAAACAAATATACCACAATGGAAAATTATTATTTATATGAATGTTCTCAATAGTTTATAAAGCCCAAGTTAGTTTTTTTTTATATAAAATAAACCAATAATAAGTAATCGGTTGCATAATAAATATTATAATCGATTTCATTAGATATTGAATAGAAAAAGTAATAAGTTTTAGAGATAATATATTGTACGTGCATTTTCATTATAAGCCAAACAGAAAATTTTCTGTATAGTAAATCATAATATTATTTAACTCTTAATAACAATTTCAAAATTTAACATTTCTCTTTTGAAAGAAAATTTACGTTTTAGTTTATGTTTCTTGTAGATATATGATGATTTTGTTATTTATCTTTTATATTAAATATACAAATATGCAAAGTACTATAAAGTATGAACATAGCGAATTATAATATAATACAAACAATAATAACAAGAAGCATACTTTTGAAGTAAATGATAAAAGATTGAATAAACAACGCTAAAATTTTAAATTATACATGTACAAGTTATATAAAGTCGTAATAAGCGCGTGCAATAGTTTTTGAAATTCCAAAAATTATTTGTATTAAAATTTCTATAAATAAAAATGTAGTCTGGCAAAAAAAAACAGGATGCATTTAAAACCATAAAAATGATTGCAACAATGAATAACACTTATTAAATTAATAATACGTTTTGGTATTTATCGATTACATATTAACAGGTGCATTGAAATTTTGTGAATTAAAAGGTTTTATTGTGAAAATAGAAACTGAATCTACTTATATTATTAATATATCGGATGATATGATTATTGATACTAATAGGATATTGGATATCCACGAGGTGAAGTTCGATAACAAGCATAATAACAAACAGATAATAATTTAAATTTAGAACATTTATAATTTTAAGAATATAAGAAGTTTTATGAACAAAGCGCTCATAATATTTTTCTAAATCGTTCAAGAGAGATTATATTACGTCCTTCTTTGGCTCTGGTTAAATAATGAATAATAATTTGTATTTTTCTTTCAAGTCAATTGCATCATTATATATTCAGATTCAGAACATTGTTTATTATTTTAGATAAAAATATCCAATTCGGAAATGATGAATTACTTAATTTGAGAATAGTTATTAATGCATTCGATGGCTCTTAAATAATAGAAATAAATCTACAGTTTTTAAATTAATGAAATAAGTAAAAAATTTATGTTTAATTTTAATTTAATGTAACATATATATATATATATATATATATGATTGTCATAAAAATGTTATTAAAATTAAAAAATTTCATATATTACAAGTTTATATAATATTATAATTGTAAATCTGAAATATTATAAATATTTTTCATGGCTTTGTAAATATTTTCAAAGTTTAGAAATATTTTACGAACTGTTATTATTGAGAAAATGATTATATACGCAGTATTTCCTATAATTACAATTAAATCTGTATATATAATAATAAAATGTGTATTACTATAGCGAATCGTGACACGTGGAACGGAGCTTGCGGAAATGGCGAGAATGAGCGAATAGTTATCAAAACGGCATCGTATCGCGTGAAAATTAAACGTTTTTATAGTTAAATTATTTGTCATATATATATATAAATTCTTTGTACTATTAATGTAATTAGTATACAAATGCATAATACATAAGAATTCGGATGGCTTAATCATAATAATGCAATAGATAGTAAATTTGCGTGCATAAAGTAGTATGTTGGGGAGGGGGATGGGGAGGGGGAGATAGGCTAATAGTGTTAGTATTGTATGAACATATATCGTCGTCAAGAGAGTGTGTGACAGATGTTATCGGCATGACTAGTCCAGGTAATCGATGAACTAGAACAGCGTATAAACGAACTGATCGAGTAGTATGAATCGACGGGTATAATCGAGAAATGCGACTTGGTAAGCGGTTGAAACGTTGAAGCAGATAAATTGACAATTTTCGTAAGATAGATCGATATGAACATCGAAAGAGGATCAAATGAATTGAGGAAGTTGCCTGGCTAAAATAACATCGTCGCTACTAAATTTTTTTATCTCGTAGAGCTTGAAAGTCGTTGCACTTTAAAACACGCTATAAAATAATATGATATAAAGGATTAAACTCGGTCGGCTCCAACATGAGCAGAATAAATGTTTACAATGCTCGGTTCATTTCAAGATTGTAACAAAAGTCTCACATAACTATGGCACATAATGCTTCATGTTAAGGGAACGTTATTATTATCTATTTCATGAAGAAGAATAGTAGTCTCAGCCCTTATGCCTTTAAGGGTCGTTATGCTGTAAAATATATTGTGTGTAGAGTGCATGATAATAATATCCAAATAAGGATTTGCATAACAAGTCCTAAGACATGGACGGTGTATGCAGAAACTTGACGAAATACAACATTGAGACGAGAATATTGAACAATTGAGAGGGCAAGGTAAGACGTAGGATTTACAAAAGTACGTTCGAATTCGATTAAAAATATGGAATATGTAAAGAAATCTAAGACATTGTTGTTTCCAATTGCTTATTTTTCACGCGTACGTAGGGGAATACTCGCTGAAAATTATCGTGAATATACGAAAAAATAATCAATATTCCCGGTATCTCATTCACGACGATGGCATTCAATTTTTACATATCCTTATAAACATAAAGCGTTAGATATTTCTGTATATATATATATATATATACATATGAGTACGTAAAGATATTATACTTTAAGCTGTAATTGTAACTTATAATTATCAGAGAACTACAAATATTCATGGAGACCATTGTACTTAAAAAATACATACAAATGCCAATAAATCATGTATTCCTTATGATAGTAAATAGCATTGTAACTATTCAGAATTCGAGTTTTTGAAAAATTGAAGTAAATCAAAATATGAAAATCTCTTGATTAAAAACTCTTTCACCATAGTTTTAAATTTATATTCACTGCGCAATCTTCAAAATATAAAATTTAAAATAAAAAAATACATATAATACGCATTAATATACACATTAGAAGAAAAAAATGCAATTTAAAAGAGCTTTTAAAAAATCTTAATTGCTAATTATGCAGTATATGCATTATGAAAGCAATTTATAAATTATAAATGTTTTCATTATTTTTAATCAATGGGAGCCAATATTTTAATATACATGCTTTAATTTCAATACATTTAATTCCAAAAATTGTTAGATTATGCTAAAATTAAAAAATTCATTAAATATATAATACACTGCTTATTTCCAAACAATTCTAATCAAAATTATAAAGTGGCTGTCTTTATAATATCGTTAAAAAAATGAATAAATTAATGAAGTAAAGTAAAGCACAAAAATGTATTGAAATAATTAGGAACTTGAATTTGAGGTATGTATTTACATTTTTGACATTCGAAGGACTATAATATAGAATATTTTAATATTTGTTCAATCATTGTAAAAGTAATTAAAGCAGTTGTCTTAAGATTGGTGATTTTTTTTTTTTTTTTTTTTTTTTTTTTTTTTTTTAGATAAAATATTTGTCATTGCAATCTAGTTATTATTAATAAAAAATATAATTCATTAGTGTCATTCAAATTATTCGATTGAATAATACATAAATATGAATTTTTGTTTTGTTGTTGTTGTTTTTTTTTTTTTTATTGGCTTTTTTTGGATTTTAAAAGTAAGAATATGAAATATAATAAGCAATATGAAGATAATTTTGTATAGATTTCATACTTGGATCACTTACGTGCATTATCATCACGATTTCTGCAGTTTTTCCTACGATAAACAAGAAATATTTATAGCTGAAGTCGGGCAATGAAAATAACACAACACAGGGATTATATTTGAATCAGATATGTCCTTGTTCACTACTGGCCACTACTGCATGTCTAATACAAATGCTCGCGATTTGTCTCGGAAAGAGGTTTGCGCTATGGCGAGAATCGATATTCGTAGGACACTCGTATATGTCGATAAAATTAGCTGATGTCTCCCACCAACTTTGCTCAATGCTTTAACGTTGATTTTTGAAACGCTTTGTTGATTCTTCTAATATTCTAGCCAAGGACGTGGACTTATTTACATTGTTTTATTTTATAACGTAAACCAATTTTTATTAAGTATTAACAAAATTTTACTTGCAAGACTTATTCTCATAATTTCTGCCTTTCATTGCACAATACGCTGACTCGATATAAACTGCTGTCATTTCACATTTCATACAAATCATTTACCATGTAATGTAAAACGTTAGATCGAATATAGAATAATGTGGAACAATTCTTTATTATTGCAATATGACAGGCGTTTTAAGATAAAATTTCTTTTTTAAATATAAAATTATTTTTAATAAACTATACGGGTTAACATTGAGCATTAAATATTAGTTAATATATTGAAAATATTTTGATTTATGTACTTTCTTTGTGTACTGTTATAAAACGATACTGACAATTTCACGTTCATAAACAATCACATTTCTACTTTTGCCTACTATCGGTTAAATACATAAAGCTAGTAAACATATATTTAATAAATTATTAATATTTAATAAATAATATAAATTATTTAATATTAATAAATATATATTTAATATATTAAATCAACCCATTCATTTAAACGGAATAGATTTTAATTTGAATAGAATTTCAATGACATAAATATAATAAATTTTTTTTAATATATTTTTTCAAAACTACATATTTTTCACGGTATAATGTCGTTGATTATATCTTTAAATAAATTGTGAAAATTGTAACTAAAACAATAAAAATTACCTTAATAACTTTGTAATATAAGTACAAAAATTAAATATTTTTTTCTTGAAAAATATTATTTATCATTATTATATTTACCTTGAAACTTTCTAAATTGACTCTCTATTGGCTCTACAACAGTTAACAATATGCTACTATCCCTTATCAAATATACATTTCTATTATTGCTTATAAAAGATTAGTCGATAGAATAATTGAAAATATGCTTCTTTTATTAGCTATTAAGTTTCATTAAATTATGCATAATATAATTTAATGTAATAGAAGAAAATGAAATTGAATAATCGCAATTAGAATAAACAATATTAATGTATATCTTATTTGTTTAAATAGTGATAATTTGGGAATACGAGCATTACATATGTAAAGGAGATTTGTTTTTTCACATATTTTCAAAATGCATTCAAAGATTGTTCTCATTATTTTTGTTATAGTTTTATCATGCTTTGATAAAATGTATTTTCATCTGTTTTCAATAATGCAACCTAAAAAGGTAAGTAATGATTTTCGTCTGCTACATTATAATAATTTAAATTAATAGGATAATTAAAAAAAAAAAAAAAAAAGTATTAATGAATTATTGTAATCGCATGGAGAAATAGAAATTATTTAATAAGGTATTGGTGATATTTAAATTATATTTATTGATAAATTTAAGAATACAAGTTTATGTGGAATGAATATTGAAATATAGGGAATATGAGATTAAATTAAATAAATATAATTATAAGTTTTTTTAAATTTATTTTATCTTCATTATTACTAAATTTTATAAAAGATTAAGATAAATGAACATATATAATACACAATATGATGAACAGTTATCCATAATAAGTATATTTCTTGCTTAACATTACGTAATTTTATAATTTATTATAAAATATTTAAACATATTTTGTTGAATAAAATTGCATTCTTCTTAATGATTCAAAGAAACTTACGGTTCTTAGGAACTTATAAATAATATGTGATTAAAATGTATTTGCTTAGAAAAATTGGTAACACTATTATTAGTTTACATAATTTTCTTTAAATTTATATCATTTCTTTAACGTCAAGCATTTCTTTTAAAATTTTCCAAAGTTTTCATTTTCAACCCGACAGTTAAAGTTTAGAAGGTTTTTTGTTAATATCCATACGGTAAATTACAAATCTGTAAAAGTGTAAATTTGCATAAAAAATGCTATAAACAATCTACGACTATCGCAGAAAAATGATTAAAAAGTCCTTGTAAATATTGTGAACAATAAGATGTAAAGACTCTTTGTTCATAAAAATATAAATCACGAATAAATTATAATAAGAATTAAAATTATTGATTTTTTTAATCATTGTAAATTATGTTGTATCATTACTTTGGACATTTATTTCTTAAATTAATGTATGCAAAAAATTCAAATTCATTATATATTGTTGTAAAATAATATAAAATAATTGGTGTATATTAACAAAATGACTAAACATTCACGCTAATGTTTAATATAACTGTCGAGTAGAAAATCTGTTAAAATGTAGAACTGTATATTTAAACTTCTATAGTTGTGTTTATTTATGCATTAACAGTGTGTTTTAGTAAATTCTTAATTATTAAATAGAATATTGAAATTTCGTGAAGTCTCCTTCTATTCTAGAGTTGTACGCATCTTATAATGATATTTAATTTATTTTATTTTAATTTATTTTGTATTTACTTAATATTTAGATAAGTTGAACGAGATTGTACAGTCTGTGCACGAAGTTTACATTCCCGTTCGTTTATTTAGCTTTCATCAACCAAATCATTATTAATTAATAAAAGAAAATTTTATTTATTAATAATTTTATACTAAATTTATCAATAATTATTTTTACCTTTAATCTTTTAAGATGATAATTCATTAAAATTTTTTTTTCCTCTTGTATAAAAAGCATAAAAGAAATTCGCTTTATTTTAAGTAAAATATTACGCGTAAATAGTATTCAGATACAATTGGATACAAAATATTCTTCGCAGTCTTAAATTATTATAAACAATTTAGATCGATAATATTCGCATTATTACAATTAAGATTTATGCATTAGTAATTATAGTTACAATTATAATGCGTTCGGTAGTTATATATATATATATATATATATATGACCAATAAACCGTTTAAAAAGGGCAGTTCATTTTGTTTTAATAAATACGTTGTATGTATATTTAAATTAAAATGCTGCTCAACGTTATCTAACAAATGATTATTATATTTATGTCTATAAAAAAAAAGGTAATTTGAAATATTATCGTAAATTATAAATACATAACCGATAATATGTATTTGATGAGTATTCTTACAATATATCTGCGATTGCTTTCTTTAATCGATTGAGCTAAGGAAATTTTATTATAAATAATACTTTAATTGTAAATATAATTTAGAATGCATCTGGTAGAATAAAGTGTACGAGCAATAAAAAGCAAAAATACTGACTTATTTTTTCTTACATGACGCAACAATATAGTATTTATTTTTTGGTATATTACTTTATAATACAGTGACACATGTTTATTAATGATTTCACGGTGTTCCAGAGCAAACAGAACAAAGTTGTATTGTTTTTATAGTTTATGTAATTTTTTTAATCTCGTATAAAGAAAGAATCACCTTTATGTGGAACAATCTAAAATTATTTCACATTGTTGTTACATTTATTTAAATCGCGTTATCGCTTTTTACATATTTATTTTATATGGACTTTTTCTAGGAGAAATAATATTAATATATTTGCAGTGATATTCTTTTAGTGTATACATTATAAATTAATATTAAAATAACGCATAAATATTTATTGAAGAATTTAAATAAAAAAACTGTATAAAAGATACGATTACAAAAATTGAAAATATAAGAGAAGACGCGCGAAACGTAGGAAATGGAACCAATCTCCAAAAAAAAAAAAAAAAAAAAAAAAAAAAAAAAAAAACAATTAAATTGATTCTTATACAAACCGATACAAACTTTAAATTTTGGTTCATTAAACTTAGGCGTTAAAAATCTTTTAATTCTTCGTTTTTAGATTGTCTTACGTGGTGTACCTGTGGCTCAATGACGAAGCCGAAAGAATGTAGGCACACATCACAAGGTGATCGCGTCTGTTTTCACGAACATATTAATTCTTTCTCCATCTTCGTAAGATTTGCGCTGATAATTTGCGTCATTGGTTCAATTGCTATTTCATAGTTCAGAGTTTCTGGACGCGTTAATTACGAATCTCACTTGCAAACCTAAACGACGATATCTTGAACAGCTGTATTGTTGTGATGCGTATCACGACATTTATAAGGTAAGCGTAGTTAAGCAATTAAGTTTATTAGACACATACTTGACACAAATAAAGTAATATCTATGATAGTGATATTTGAAAGAAAAAATTTTCTAACCATCGAATAACTGTAAGCAGTTTATCTAATAGACAGTCCAATTTTCAAAATCATTTTAAGATGAGTAATATATTAATGCATATCGTGGTTAATTACTTGAAAAACAAAAGAGATAAAAAACAAACAAAAAAAAAAAAAAACAAAAAAAAAAAACAAAAAAATGTGTGCAAATATTGTCTTGTCTATCGGTCTTTGAAACGGCAATTCTTATGGAAATGACAAAAATCATCGGGCTCAAACACCTTTATTAACGGTCTTTCCGGTACCTGGTAATACAGACGTCTAATTAATATTATTAATGATTACTCATCGTATTCTAGAGTTTAATTTCGAGCACATTTATTTGCTCCTCGACATGAAGTAATTGCCGATACTTTTCTTTACGAGTAGGCTCTCGAAATTCAATGGATATTTTAGAGGTGAGTTTATTCGAATTAAAAAAATGCTATTCTAAGTGCTTTCCAGTCTCTTATAGACGTCCCTTAGGCGAAGGTTACACCTTCGTATCCTAGCTACGGTACTGGTTAGAGCGCATATCCAGTGATTGGAGATTAAAAAAAGGATACGAAATGGTCGGACGTGCGGCTTCTACGTGAAAGATCGCGCGTCGGTGAATAATGTAAGGGCTGTGAGCACGAGTAGGATGGCGAAGCTGAGGTTACCCGGTGAACGATGTCCGCTGACAGCGGCGCCCGACGAGAAGGAGAAGATGGAGCTCGACGAGCCGTGGTCACGGTGCCCCGAGGGTTGTTCCGACGCCATGACTTCCTCTTTCGAAGGTGTCGGACATGGCAGGTCTTCTGGCTTGAGGTCAAACAGACGTCTCACGTAACTCGGCTTGCCATCTATCTCGATCTGCAAACAAGGCGCACATGGTCGTAATTAGCAGCTGAGGAGCTGGTAAATAGAGAGGCGACTTTTTACATTCTTATTTAAAAGATATTTCATCTTCCGATTTTATAAAACTCTACATATAGGCGGTAATTCTTTATGTCCATAATAGCAAACCATTTGGTTGAATTTGTGTATATTGATTGAAATGGAGAAAATGGATAGTGACGAGGCTGATATAATACCATCATTTTCTTCGCTGGGAATTCAAATAAATATATTCATACACGTGCTTTTGTAGTTTAGTTTTTAGTTTTACCTGATGCCCGATTGGAGGATTTTCGTCATCGCTGTAATTATCGTCGTAGTTGTCACTTAAGTACTGCGATTCATCCATAGGCCCTTTATCTTGGTATCCTATAATGCAATTTTCTAGTTAATAATTTTAGCTTATGAGATGCTAAACAAATTTACAAAGTAGTGATAAAAATTTAATAACAGGGTCATTGTTAATGACAAAATTTTGTTCAAAAATAAGTGGGAGAAGAGTTTGCAATAAGATAATACCAGTACAATATGAGAAATATTTTTTTCAATTCTTATTTATCTCAAGTTGTAAGCATTATAATAATTATAATAATTTAAAATTTTCAATAAAGCATATTATTTTCATGAACTTCAGACAAAAAAATGTACATGTACATCCGATAGATTTACCATATTTCCGACAATGAGAATTAAAACAAAACTACATTTTTAATTTTATCCCGTATGCCAAGATACAATCTATTCCTAATACAATCAGACAATAATAAAAATAAATAAAGATATTTATTTACAATATTTTTAAATTATTTCTCATGCACTATTATAAAAATTATAAAAATTACTTAATTATATTATAATATAATTATTCTTAATTACATTGTATCGTAAAATTACAAGACCGTAAATTATGATTAATTCAGAGGAAGATCATTATTATTGAAATAATTTTAATTCTAAGCATTTTTAAATACATTTGTACAGTTTGTCTATAATCTATATTAGATAAAGATTCCATTTATATTAATTCTACGTAAATTTTCGAAAAATTTCATTTTTAAATGTCAGTTTTTTTTAAAGAAAAATAAAATAATAAATAAAATATATAATTAATAAATTGCATAAAGAGTGTAAGAAACTCAATTTATAAGTGTCGTTTTGTATTCATAATGAAAAAAATCATTACTTTCAAAAAAAAAAAAAAAAAAAAAAAAAAAAAAAAAAAAAAAAAAAAAAAAAAAAATATTCTTCCTTCCAATTTAATTAAAAAACAAAATAAAGCAAACAATGACGAACTTAATCAATAGTGTAATGAAATGAAAAAAAAAACAGTCTTCAGGACTCACCTTTATTACGCACAATCTCAAGGGCTTGGCTGAATTCCTCACGAGAATCGAATTTTGGCTCGTAGGTCGCTTCAAGGAAGCAAGTCAACTCTTCCAATCCCTCTCGTAGCTTTGGATTTTTTGTCTCATTTCTCAGACCCCAAATCCACGCCAGTTTACAGTCACATATCATCTTATTTCCTAAAATAGAAAGTATACAATATATACTATGAATTGTTTCATTTTGATTATTTTGTCAATGAATAAGCAAACATGAAAAAACAAAAACAAAACAAAAACTTTTATCTAGGCGGAGAATAATATTTGTAGAAACATTTGTAATTTATTTAATTGTTTCTCTATATATAAATTCTTTTTTTCTTTCAATATCTACAGTGACTAAAATAATTCGAACGTGTCATTTCTGTCATTACAATGAAAGTAAATAAAAAAAATTTATATTTAGAATTGAAGTTGAAATTGATCAAATTATCGCGCATAAATTAATATTTATAAAATAAGAGTAAGGAAGTTTGATGCAGAAAATATAAAGTAACTGTAATCTTGTTAATACTCTAGTCTATATTATTATACTAATTTTTTATATTATTAAATGAATAATTATTATTAAGGCAATGAAGTACGATGAAATAAAATTTTATTTGTTAATATATAAATATCAGATTATTGAGCATTTACGTAAGGATATTTGCGAGCACATTACAAAGTACGAAATATCAACAAAAAAAAAAAAAAAAAAAATGTGTAATATTATTTAATATGTACTTATTAAAAGTATATTGTAATTTATTATTTTTAATTCTTACGCCATTATCGTAAAGTATGAAATTATTAAAATGATAATTTACGTTATTTAATTTATCTATTATTGATGAAAGTAAATTATAGTTTGTACTAATCGTATTATGAACTTAGCTAATTAGAGGAAAAAGGTGTAAGGAATTATTTGCTTAATTGAATTTTTGAAGGGGCTAAAAGGCTAATTAATTAAAATAATTCAAAAAAATGCTCTCGTACTCAAGACTTACATTCATCGGAAACATTAATTATTCAAGATCGATGAACGCTGGCTTAAGAAGCTTTTTCTAGCTGATCCAGAAGCGTTGTTCAGGACCGCCCGAATTTTTTTAAAAATATTTTTATGGTTTGTATGGTTTGCTTATTATAAGCTGGAGGAGGAATTGCGGATTAATAATTAATTCATCAAGACTTTCTTCACTTTAGTTTCAACCAACAAATAATTCATGATTAATTATTGAAATTTATATTTATTTTCAACCATAATTAGAAGTAAAAATTACAGATAAAAATACAATTTACAATATTAGCAATAATTATTATAAATAGTAGAAATAATAATTTAGATGCTATAAACTTGTTTATTATACTAACGATTAGTTTAAATTATTTTCAGTTTCTCGAAATATTATTTATATATATAAAAGGCAAATATATATTCTTTGAATAATTTAAATTGTATAATATAGCCAAAAGCTCCGAAATCTCACGAGTTGAAACATTTTAAAAATAAATTAAATATATGTAAATTTTCTTTTAAAATACCTTTTTATAGGATTCGATTTGTTACATTTCTCGTGTACACGTGTCACAAATAAACAAAAACTAAAAATTTAATTATTTTAAATTAAAGAATTGCAACGAGTGAAAATACGGACCTTAAAATGTATATTTATCGACACGATATAATTGTTGCAATTATTGAAATTGTTTAATTTATTAAAACAATGTTTAACTCACTAGAGAAATGTATTTCGCTGTACATTTTGCGTAGTTTTAAAATCAAACTTCAGAAAGCTCTTATCTCATATCGAAACATGTCTCACGAACGCTTTATAAAAACCTATATCGAATACATTTCAAAAGCAGTACGTGTTTGTGTTGAGAGCAGGAGGAATGTGATCCTACGTATCCTTGTACACACTTATATTTTTTATGTGTCGTATGAGCCTTCACTCGCGCCATATATGGATATAAATCGTAAAGCATGTTATTTTAAAATATGCAAGCATTGAAATAACTTTACGAAATTCAGATAGAAAAGCGTTTATATAATAATACAAAGAAGAAAAAAAGAAGAAAACTTGAAGAACTTATAGAGCTAAGAAAACTTGTATTAAAAGTGTATCAGAGAAACTAGTGGATACAACAAGTCGATTTTACTTCCTTCAAAGACAATGATCTTTCAATAGATTATTCAGAAATATCTTAATATTAATATTGCATATAAATTTTAAATCTAATTATAGACACGTGTTTATCCAACGGTCCTATCGTTTTATTATATTCTATTCATAAAAGTTAGTATCTGGTTCGAAAAGTAGAAAATCATATTGTTAGTCATATGAGTAATCGTATTGTAAAATCATATGAATAGTGCTTGAATACTATTTACTTGTAATTAATTTACTTTGTATTGAAAATAATTTCATTAATATACCATTGAAAGAATAAAGTTTTTTTTGTTTTTTTTTTTTTTTATTTTCATAAACTATTTGAATTTCAGAGTTAAAATTACGAATTACTTTGAAAACCGAGTGCAAATTATATATTTTAATAGATATTTAATAGAATATTATTAAATACATATTTTATTATATTGACATTAAAGTAATAAAATTCTTTATTTTTTGTTTTAATTTTTAGCAAATTCAGACGATATATATTTTTTTTTATAACGAGATCTCTATTCAAACATAATTGAAATACTTTTCATTCTGTAATGAGGCTAAGCTATAATAAATAATTAATCACTATCAGTGTATTTATGTGTAATTAATTTGATTGTTTAATGATTCGTGTATCAAAGTTGATATTTGTTCAATGTAACTAATATTGAAAATGCATTTTCCGACATTTTTAATTCACTTTTGTAAGCCTCCGTGGTTTACTCAGTATTCATTCGTTCAAAAAAGCGAGCGTGGAATTCTTTTCTGTATTTATACTCAAAAGTATGAGTGAAAAGGTTCATCATTCCTTTTGCCATCTTTCAATCTTGCTAATGTGTTAACCAATCACTCCCTTTCAATGTAGTCTTGCAAAAACCAAACTAATCGAGCGAATATCTCAACGATCAGACCATCGCTTTTCCATCTCCTTGTTTTCTCTACATATTGTGTAATTATAAACTGTTCGATAATTACAGGAAATCGTAAAAGCTGATATTTATTGTTTATTTTATCGAATACTAATTTCCATCATATATCGAAATATTTTATTTTAAACAGATTTAAAAGATATACATACACACACACACACACACACACACATATATATATATATATATATATATATATGTAATTTATAAAAAAAAATTTGATAAATTAATTGTTTCTAATGTTATTGTATTTTGTATTGCCAAGTACGAATTATAGCGATATTTAAAATAATATTAATGAAACATTAAAGAATCGTGTAATGAGTGAAGCTAAATTCCAATACAACGAGGATATTTTTAGTTATTGCTCGACAAGACTGAAAGAATATTTATTTATTCTTTATAAAAAAATTTTTTTTTTTTTTTATCTATTTATGTAATTTATTTATTCTATTCATTTACTTATTTTAATTTATTGCGTACTATTTAAGAAAATGTTCGCCTTTTGGTTCTTCTAACTTTTAAATGTACTAGTAGACGGACAACGAATAAAAAAAGTAAACTACTTTTCATATAAAATTATTTGTTTAATTATTTAATTATTAATTTTTTTTTGTTTTTGTTTTTTAATATTATTTGTTAATATAATTTTATTTACAATATGTAAACAAATTTTTCGATATATTATTAAAGTGATTGTCTATATTAAATTAGTCGGTAAAATACAATTTAAAAGCATTAAATATATTTTTAATATAATTGATAAGTTAGATAAGAGAAAAATAATTCTAAGACTTTATATTTAATAATAATTCTCAACTTTTGATTCTATGTAAGAATTATCTTATTGCAAGTGTTTTTAATAACAATATATGGAAATTTCGAAATAGTTCGAAACTTGTAGACTCATCGTCACAATGGTTTTTATGAATTTTTGATAATGCCGATGAAATGAAATATTCAAGTAGCGGTAAAGAGTGAAAGGGGCAAAGAGACTTTCTGATACAACTGGACTCTTCAAAATTCGACGTGTAGATTCGGGTTAAAGATACGTCAGTCAATTCTTTTTCAGCTCTCACTCAAGCAACATTTAGATGCGACAGTTATCTAGTCATTTGCATTCAAAGCGCACGTTCTTTTGCACATTTGGTCTATGACGGAGTCCACCACATTGATGGAGAAAAGCGGGAAAAAAGAGCGCAATCAGTTGTGTTTGAAATCACGTTTTAACCTTGCGATTTACCTCGCAGACGTGTAGGGTTTGCTGGAACTACAAACAAAGAGAGCAAGGCAATGTTTGCAAACTGATGCTATTGTCGCCTGGAATTTCTCCAATGGAATTCAATGAAAGCTCTCGTTATTGAGTTCTTGCTCTATCGTGGTCAAGATTTTCCTATACTTTTTTTATTTGCTCCCTGATACTTTATTGCCTGATATCGCACAGCTCATGAACTTATCACTTATGCCTCTTAGACATTTTTATAAGTAAAAGCTTACATCTCAACTGTCGTTAATTTCTAATTTAAACGTTGCCACGTATTTGAGAAGTATATTATATTCTTAATTGTTCAATCGTGATTCGATGAGATGACCCTTTATACTTAAAGCTTGAGAGTATTCTGTAATTTTTTATTTAAACTCAGTATTTATAAGCTATGACTCATTTGGACTTGAATTTTTTGTTGAAAGGTTATATCAGTGATTGGCCAATGTATCTAAATAAGTTATATTTCATTATGATATAAGTTAATGAGTGAAATTTTTATTCAGCGAAATTGAATATTTTAGCCGTTTACCATAATATTTATATGAATTTCTGAATAATCATTTGCGCGCATTAATAATACCGGACATCTACATATTACGATGAAATTAACAAAATGATTGATTTTCATGGAATTTGTAGAAAATGGAAAGTGCGAATTATCCGAGAGTCACGATTAAAGCAATAATAATAATATTCATAATAATTCAAAAATTTCGAATGCACAAAAAATTTAGATTAATAAGTATATAAAAACTATGTATAAAATAATAGTCGGTAAAAACGATAAAAAAAA